TGTTGTGTAACACAGTTACACAACTATTCAGTTGCATGCTGTCTAACATCCCTAATAGACAGGGGTCGCCAAACTGCGGCGAGCCCTGCTTGCCAGCCGTGCTGTCCGGCGATCTGCACGTGTGCAGATCGCCCGAACCCGGCTTTTCTGGGTTGCAATCTACTCGCCTGTGGCAAGTAGATTGCATTATTTGTCGACCCTGCTAATAGAGGTCAGTTAAGGAAGTTTCTTGAAGTGACCCAATGTCCTAAACCAGCCAGAAGACATTCCATCCATAGCACGTGTCCTGGGCATGTGCCCACCAGAGGGCAGCATCTATCAGCCTGTGTAGAAGAGAAGCACAAATAAATTTCACCCACATTCACGGTGCTTTTATGGGTCAATATCAAGAAAAGCAAATGAATTAGAAGCAGCTGGTGTGTGGGAAGGAACTGTGAAATTTCTAGCTTCCTCTGTGCAACAGCAGGGAATGTGGCTTCTTCACTGATTTACAGCATTTGACATTTTAAGTAATTTGTTAGAAAAATGGGGAAGTGGAGCAGAGATCATGTTCCTAAGCCAGAGGGCTGGGAATGCTGAGCAGGAAGCATCTCTGCTTAGGCTAAAGTCACTGCACTTTCCCCCTTGACCAATAGATTCAGGGGTTATGAAGAACTTCTGGGCAGGTGTGTGGAGGTGTGTCACGTCTCTGCTGCAGACTGCAGCTGACTGAAACCCTCAGCAGAGTGGCTGCACCTCCAGGACATGGTTTTCTTTTCTCTCCATCCAGAACAAAAGAAGGGAAACCCAGGCCCAGTATGTTTGGAATCCACCAACCCAGTGCACAGCCCTCATTATCCTGGCCAAGTGCACAGGACCAACCAGATAACTGCGTATCCCACCCGGACTAGCATGGACCCCCATGGAAATCCCATCACGGTGCTGACAGTGGACCGGCATGGTGAGCAGAGCCTGTACCCAGCACAGTCCCCTGCTTACATACAAAGCTACCAGCCTGTTCACTTGGATCATGCCTTGAACACTCATCGCTGTGGCCTGGAGCACAGAGCATGCTCTCCAGCTCAGGCCTTCCGAAGGGCCAAATTCAATGGACGACACTTCTCCAAAGCAGCTTGTTTTTCTCAGTATGAGACCATGTACCAGCATTACTACTTCCAAGGCCTTAGCTACCCAGAGCAAGATGGACAGCCTCCGGCTGGCATCGCCTCCAAGGGTCCTTCCCGTGCCTTCCAGCCTGCTGGCAGCCTGCTGTTCCCTCCTGTGGTGCATGTCATGCCCTCCTCCCACATGGAAAGTGGCAGCACCTCCAGCTGCTATCATGGTCACCGCTCTGTGTGCAGCGGTTACTTGGCTGACTGCCCAGGCAGTGACAGTAGCAGCAGCAGTTCTGGGCAGTGCCACTGCTCCTCCAGTGATTCCATGGTTGACTGTACAGAGGTCAGCAACCAGGGGGTCTATGGGAGCTGCTCCACCTTCCGTAGTTCTCTCAGCAGTGACTATGACCCTTATATTTACCGCAGCAAGAGCCCCTGCTGTGGGGGTGATGCTGGTGGCACAAGCCCAAGGGCGATTCTGCTCCTGGAGGGCCCCCAGCAGGACAAGCCTCTGGCACATGGGCATGCCCTGGTGGGTGCTGACTGTCGGCCTGTGCCAGCTTCTTCCTCAGGGGACCAACTTTCTACCTGCAGCATGGAGATGAACTACAGCAGCAGCTCCTCCCTGGATCACAGGGATTCAAATGGCACTACCTCAGAGGGAGGCCTTGAGGGGACTCCCAGGGCTGCCTTGGCTGTTAAAAGGAACTGGAAAGGTCCAGAAGATGCAGGACCTCTGATGGAACAAGCATGTGCTTGCTGCTTTGAGCTCCAGCATGCTGCCCTGGAGCCCAGCAATGGGACAGAAGACTATGGCGCTCTCTTCTTGGGCTCCCCGCTTTGGGGCAGGTGTGGCCCAGGCATGGAGCAGCAGCCAGGTAGCTCCCCAGGCCTGTACAGTGTTAACTCGGACCATGTGCGTAGGACAGATGGGGTGAAATATGAGGGCTTGCCCTGCTGCTTCTATGAAGAGAAGCAGGTTGCCTGTGGTGGAATGGGTAGCAGTGAAAGTGGTGGCTGCTACACAGAGGACTATGCAGTGAGTGTACAGTACACACTTCCTGAGGAGGCCTTGCCAAGCTGCTATCAAGAGGTGCATGACATAGGTCAGTGCATCCCTATCATTCCTGAGGACAGAGACTGTGCATTAGTCCAGCTGCCAGAGTGCCAAGGAACCCCTGGAGGCTGTAGTTCCTGGGACAGGGCACCTGACATGGATGCTCATCTACCCCGCCAAGGCCTAGCAGAGCTGCAGGAGGAGACGAAGGCCTGCTACCAGGCAGTGTCCCTCCTGTGCCAGAGCTACTCTCGGGACAAAGGCACGAGGATGCTCTTTCACAGCTCCACCCGGAGCTCACAGGTGGCAGCAGCAACCACAAAGGCTACAGGTAAGAGTCAGACTTGTTTTTTCTCATCTCAGAGCATGGTGAAAAGAGAGCCGTGCCAGCTGCACTTGTGTTCACAGAGATGGGCTGCACACAGCCCTTACAGCTCATGCCATGGAGAAGGGGAGCTGCTCATTATTCCAGCCTGTCATCTACCTTTTTATAGAAACTGCCTATGTTAGCCTCTTTTTCTCAAAGAATGTCCTCCTGTGCTCTCTCCATTGGTGAGGGTGTTAATGGGCTATCTAGTCATGGTCAGGGCAGCTCTAGACACCAGTGGTGAAAACACAAGTGGCTGCTGGCACTTAATCTACACTAGGGTTCCCACCATGGTCATGGCCAGTGGAGCTAAACCAATGTTAGCAGCTGTGGGAAATTCAGGAAAATGACCAGAGCAGAAAAGGTCAAAGTGCCATGTATGGGGTAGGTAAGAAGACTGGTAACTCTGAAAAGGATGAAAAGGAGTTCTGGAAAGTTTGGCATAACCTTGGAGGATAATGCATGGAAGGGGAGGGAGGTGCAGGCCTCCCTAGCTATGGTCACACTGAAGCGCTATTTCGGGCTACCTCTGGTAGCCCAAAATAGCTATTCCGTGTCTTTTGAGCAGGCCCATTATTTCGAAATATAATGGGCTCACTATTCTGACGTCCCTGTAAACCTCATTCCACAAGGAGTAAGGGATGTTTTGGAATAGCGGATTATTTCAAAATAAGTGCTGTGTAGACAGCGCCAAATTACAAAATAAGCTATTTCAAAATTGATTCAAAATAAGCTATGCAATTTGTGTAGCTCAAATTGCATAGCGTATTTCAAGCTATGGGTGCCCAATGCCTCAGAAGTGTTTGTGGCAGTGAGTCTGGACTGGTCACAAACAATTCGTGGAAAAGGGAGAACCACCACCTGGGCTTCTCCTTCTCCTTTACTTCCAACGAGTATGGGGGGACCCCTCCCCAGGCCTCTTTCTTGGATGTGCCAGGTCTAATAATTCTTTTATCCTTTCAGGGTCTGGATCTTACCTGCTGGAAAGAAGCCAAATGGGCAACTAGATCTTGCCAGACTGGGGAGCTTTTTATGGAGACTTCAAATTATGCTGGACTTTCTTTCAGACTTTTTTAACTCTGACAAACACACAAAAGTGGTAATGCAGAGAAGCCCCTACTCCCAGCCCAGCTGAACTGAGCTCCCCTCCATTCCTTGCCAGCTTGATGCCTCCTTTAATCCTGGGCTTGTATAAGGACACAAGCCATTAAGGAGCAGCTCTGATCTCTAGGGTCCCTTCTACACTAACAACAACATGGTCCTTTAAATTTCTGTTTTTTTCAAACCATGGTGCCAGCTCTTTCTGGCAGATAACACTGCTACATTACACAAGCCACAGCGTGTATAGATACTGATCTCTCCTAAAGTGAGTGAAGGCCTTTGAGCTCAGGGCTATACCTGCCTGAGGGTATGTCTACACTTGCAGCCTAATTCAAACTAGGACTGCAAATGTAGGCATTTGGAATTGCAAATCAAGCAATTCCTCCTGCAATGAGGTTTAACAGGTAGTTCGAACTAGGGCTTTATTTCGAACGCCCGTTTCACTGCCGCATGTAGACACGGGCAGTTACTTCAGGTTTGTAAATTTCAAAAATGGCGCCCGGCCGGGAAGATGCAAATCAAGCGTGGGATATTTAAATCCCAGGCTTGATTTGCAATTCCAAATGCCTACATTTGCAGCCCTAGTTCGAATTAGGCCGCAAGTGTAGACATACCCATATAGACATTAATTCTATAGCAAGAGTTATGGAAGCAGACACACAAAAAATGTAGAAAACATATTTGTGTTTTTATGCTAATATTATCTCACTCAGAGATTAAACATTATGCAAAAGCCATGAACCCTTGCAGTGATTTGATTACACATAGAAACACTTTGGCGAAAAACAGTACTGTGCTGTTTACACTGGCCCTCTTGCGCAGATGATTTGTGCAAGAGGGCTTTTGCCTGAACAGGAGCAGCACAGTATTTTCGCAAGAACACTGACGATCTTACATGAGATCGTCAGTGTTCTTGCGGAAATTCAAAGGGCCAGTGTAGACAGCTGGCAAGTTTTTCCGCAAAATCAAATGATTTTGCGGAAAAACTTGCCAGTCTAGACACAGCCATAGAGAACAAGTCAGCACCGTGAGTCAAAACTAAACAGATTTGACACAGTGAGGTCAGGAGTGACTAGAATCTGTACTACCACACACATGCACGGCCAGATTGGACCCAGATTAGTTCTGTCCAATCGCCGTTCTGTTAGGAGCGGTAAGTGCCTTGTGTGACTCCCACACCGCACACACTGGAACTTTTCATTGTCAGGCCTTTTGCTGTGCAAGCGATTTCTGAGTTACTCTTGATTCTGATTCGCTCATCACCACCCAGCACAGGCCGATGTGCAATTGGGGCTTTTTTGCGGAAAAGTGCGTCTAGATTGGCCACGGATGCCTTTCCGGAAAAAGTGCTTTTCTTCCGGAAAAGCATCCTGCCAATGTAGACGCTCTTTTTCCGGAAATACTTATAACAGAAAGCTGTTCCGTTTTAAGCATTTCCGGAAAAGGGTGCCAGTGTATACGTAGCCCAGGTGGATACAAATGCTGAAGCAACCCTTGGATGCTGCCCTGTCCTCCATTTGGCAAAACCCAGTAGGAAGAAGGCTTTAGAATCTTGAACCTTGGGTGCAAGGTTGGGACACAGATGTAGGTTTGCCCCTTTCTTACACTCTTAGGGGTGTGCAGACAAAGTCTGCTTTCCTGCAGGAGTGTAGATGGGAGCTTGTGTGGAATGCTACCTCTGCTGCCTACTGACAAAGGCACTAGTACCTCTCACACCTTCTGGCCTGTGGAGCAATAGGGAATAAGTGACATAGAAAGGCTGGGGGGGATAGCAGCTTCTCATCAAGAATTTCAGTCTTCCTACTGCAGTTCCTCAGGAGTTTGCAACCCCAGGAGATGGGCAGCACCACAGCAAGAGAAACGGGCACTTGCAGTGATGTGTTACTTGCACGTTGCCTGTGCCTTGTTTGGGTCAGTTGGGGAAACGCTTGGATAGGGGTAAATGGGTTGATTCATTGGAGACTGCATGTGGGTAATGGACTTAGTGCTTTCCATCAACCAGCACACCATACATGCACATACATGGGGCATAGTGCCTGGAGCAAGTTTGCTTTAGCCTTTATTTCTCTCTCTTTGCTGGAAGAGAGATGGTTGATGTAGCTGCCATAGACCAGTCCAGCTTACAGGTGTCTTTGGTTCATCCAGCCTTCGCCATGTTCATGCCTTTGCATACAGAGAGCACAGTGGGAATGTTTTGTTACCATGAGATAATGCATATCAGTCCTTTCCTGTGGAACCAGTGGATTCTAAATAAGAGCCATGGCTGTCATGCTGTGAGTAACCCTCAGTTTAGCTTTTCAGAGACTGGGTGAATCTTAACAGGAGCTGAGCTGGAAAATGAAAAACCATTACTACACATATTTCTATGTACAAAGATGCAATATCTTCTCTGAGTACCAGTGGCTTATGGTGTGTTTATGGAAATGAAGCTGTGGGATTTTATAAAATTTTCCACTTTTGAATTCGCTCACCTTCCCCCACCCCCAAAGAAATCAACCAGAAGAGGTGTGGTTATGATATAGTAGATACACATCTTGGGTGTGCTGAGAAGCACCACGTCTTTGGCCACTCGAGATACTTGGCATACTCTAAGTAGCAGACTGAGGTACGGTGCAAAGTGGATGATGAATGTTTTGGCTCATGTGTTCCCATTCACATGGGCATGGTGTCACCCATGTAGAGATGCATTCTCGTCCACTCCCATTTTTTATCTTGTTACCTCCTGTATTTGCTCATTATCCCTGCTGAAAGCCCACTGGGGCGAATGTGTCTGCAATTACACACAGGGTGCGTCTAGACTGGCAAGATTTTGCGCAAAAACTTGCCAGCTGTCTACACTGGCTGCTTGAATTTGCGCAAGAGCACTGACTTTGTAATGTACAAAATCAGTGCTTCTTGCACAAATACTTTCACGCTCCCGCTTGGGAAAAAGAATACTTGCTCAAGAGGGCCAGTGTAGACAGGGAAGAATTGTTTAGCGCAAAAAAGCCCCGATGGCTAAAATGGCGATGGGGGTTTTCTTGCGCAAAATCGCGTCTAGACTGGCCACGGATGCTTTTGCGCAAAAGCATTCGTGCCAATCTAGACGCGCTTTTGTGGAAATACTTTTAACGGAAAAACTTTTCCGTTAAAAGTATTTCCACAAAATCATGCCAATCTAGATGCAGCCCCTGACCGCTTAGCTGTGAGATACTGTTTTAAAACAAAAATGCCTTTCTATTGCTTAAATAAATTGTTGCTAGTGTGTTGGGCTCAGGAAGCACTATTTAAAATGTTTAATTAAAATTTATTCTGTAGCACTTAAAATGGCTTTGTATAAACTTTGCTGTAAAGATTTGTAATAATATTGTCAAAGGGCTCTTTCTCCATTACCATGTTTTACTGTTTTAAAGGCTAGGAAACAACTTGAGTATATTCTGTATATGTATAGCAGCACATTTCATTTATGGAAATATGTTCGCAGAATATTTATTTACTAATATATTTATCTTAAGCCATGTCTCGCATTGAGAGTGTGTAACCTTATTGGAATAATCATTGAAAATCACTAACATGAGGCCCTGTAACTACATGATAATTGCACACAAAGATTTTACAATATTTGCTGACCAAAACATTACTTAAAGCATGTTGTAGTTCTCTACAGTTTTGTAACAAAGTGTACAAATGTCTGTTTAAAAAATAACAAAAAGCAAAATACAGTTTTAGCAAGTATGTTTTGAAAGTTGTTCTCGTGTTTTGTCGCGCTAGTTCAGCATTGTGCCTCTAAAGACAATCCTGGGGCCTGTGAGTGAAATATTTTAAACTAAACTGTTTGCACAGGCCTCTTGTGAAAAGTTCTACTTGACCGTGAGAAGACTGGGTTGGAGTATAACTCCTAGAAGCATGTATCTCAGTAGAAGGGCGTGTAAATCCCTCTTTGCAAGCTGTCTATCCACCACTAAACTCTCCCAACCAAAATACTTTTTAGATTCACTGTTCATGATCTTCATAAGATTAGCCCTAACACTATGGCTATGTCTATACTCGCGGCTTCTTGCGCAAGTAATATGCAAATGAGGCTAAGCGTGGAATATCGCCGAGCCTCATTTGCATACCTAATGAGCCACCATTTTTTTCAGAAGAGGCTCTTGCACAAGAAGGAGCGTCTACACTGCTCCTTCTTGCACAAGAAAAACCCTCTTGCTCAATGCCGTTCTTCCTGTCAAGTAATAGGTGTAACGGCATTGCGCAAGAGGGTTTTTCTTGCGCAAGTGTAGACATAGCATAGCCTATGAGTTGTAAGTGAATAAAAACTATTTTAATTGGCTCACCAGGATGTGGCTATGATTAGTAAACAATTTTTTCAACTTTCCTCCACCTAACCCTTCCTCTCTGTTTGGAGCACCTATTCATGTGCCTTTTCTGGTAATAAGAATGGCCTTCCCTAGTCCCCCCTTCCTGATGTCAAATAAAAGACACGTATTTTCAAAAATAACAACTCTCTTTATTCAACACAACTGGGGAGGGGGAATGAAACTGTGAGGAGATGGGGGAAAGGAGGTGGGAGAGGGCAGGAGAGAAGGTGGGAGAGGGGAGGGGGAAACCTGGGAGGAGGGAGCCGGAAGGGGGAGGAAGGGGAGAATTGGGGCAGGAGGGACGGGGGGGTCAGAGGAAGCGGGAGGGGAGCAGGGGTGGGAGGAAGAGTGAGAGCTGGGGCGGCCGCAGGGGCTGGAGCAGGAGGTGGCAGGAACCTGTCCACCAGGGTCTGGAGGTGACCTCGGAGAGCACGGCCCTGATCCTCCAGCGCCTGCAAGCTCCGCTGCCGCAGCCGCAAATCCTTGCGGACCCAGTGCTCCTGGGTGCGGAGCTGCTGCTCCAGTAGCTGCAGGTGCTCCTGGCTGTGCATGTGGCCTCTGGTGGCCAGGCTGGCAGCCACGTGGCTGTATACGGCCGC